TTCCCAGGTGCCTCTATACTTAATGCTTAAGGGTTCTAGGGTGAGGGCTGAATCCCAAGCCAGTTCATTAGTTTCTGGTGACCTTTGCTCTGTGTGGTTGGTCAATTCCATGCCCACCTGCTCCATTGACCTTGTTTTATCACTATTATCTGGAGATGACATACATGACCACTAAGCTGAACCTGGCACAGCCCAGGCCCAGGAAGGTTGGCTCTGCCCCTTTATGACGGTTTGCAGTCCTGCGTTCTTGTTCCTGCTAACCTGTCAGCATCCTGGGAGTGGTCAGGCTCCTTCACATCTTTCCACCACCCCAGGGTACCCAGCAGCATATGCTGTAAAGCACAGGGGCTATGGCACTGCATAGGTCTGGGAGCTCCATCCGGAACTTTGCTACTTAATTATGTCAAGTTCATATAGTAACTATGAGGTATCCGAGTTAAGGTTAACAGTCAAATGTAATAAATAACTCTGTGAGGCTTTGTCCCTTCTTTACAGATGAGCAACTGAGGTTCAAGGACTCCTCACCTACCGTAAGTCTTTACCCAAATGCTACTTTCCCAGGTAGGCCCTCCCTGGCCCACCCTATTTAAAATGACAGTGTGCCCCCATTACGCCACTCCCAAATTACATTGTTGCTGTTTCTCTCCCCTGCTGCCCACAGCCCTTAGAATCTTCTAACATGCTATCCAATTTACTCCTTATGTTTATTACTTAGTCCCTGGTACATGCTACCCGTGCAGGAATCTTTGTTAGCATTGCTCACAGGTGTATATCCCAAGCCACTAGAACAACACCCAGCACATAGTAAGTGCCTAATCAATGCATGTTGCGTGAACATCTGGTTAAGTAACTTCCCCAGGTGTCAATTATCAGGAGATTGTGCAGTAGAAGGCTTAAGAGCCAGGCTGTAGAGCTAGACAGTTTGGGATTTGAATTATAGTATTTGTCACTCTAGCTAGCTGTGACCTTGGGTAACTTATTCTTTCTGAGCCTCAGTTTCTTTGGTAATAAAATAGACAAATAACATTTGTCTTGCAGGATGGGTGGAGGATTAATGGAGACACATATGTAAAGTTCTTGGCATATGGTGGGCATTCCGTAAATGTTAGCTCCTTTCCCTGAGGATATTTTTTTTCTCTTTCTGCTTCTCGTTTTCCCTCTGATGGCCTACCCTTTGACCACTTCACTGTTCAACAGCAGCTCCTTAAGAGGACAGAGCTGCTGAAGGCGGGGTTGGCATTATCCGTGGTGTGAACCAGCCCAAGCTCTCTTGCCCTCCTTCTTTGTCCTTCCAGGATGTGCCTGTTGCCAAGGAGACGCAACATCAGCCCTTGGCAGGTTCCTGGCCCCTGGCTGGGGTTCTGGCCACACATGGAAGGAGCTAGACGTTGGGGATGGGTGACCATGTGGGGCGGGGGAGAGGAGAGAGCAGGAACTCAGCCTGCTTCCTGGGCTGGGAGTCTGGGTGGGGGGCATCCTTTTGGAGTCTGCTGGAAAAGCTCAGCTGGCTCCCTAAGAAAATGAAGTGTTCACCCTCCTGTCTCCATGCGGCTCTTGGAAGCTACAGTGGCGTTCTTTCCTGGGCTGAGGTCCACGACACCAGTCCGGGTGTGATTCCCAGACCCTGGGAGGGGGCCATAGCAGCCAGAGTGACTCATAATCAGACTCCTGGCCCTCAGAATGGCACCTTCCCAGAGCAGGGCTGGCCACTGTGTAGACACATCCTTGAAGAGGCCTGGCGGATGATTTCACCATTTTGCACTGGAGAAGGCCAGCCAAACTCCCCACTGCGAGGGTCCTCACGGCCATCTCTTTTTACGGGCTTGGAGGAGACTGAGGTACCTGCCTCAGGTACCTGACCCTTCCCACCCCAGCCAGTGACCTTGCAGCTTGAGAGATTGTGGCATTTCTGTAAAGCAGTTACCCACCTGGAGGAAGGGGGCTGGAGTAGTAGATAAGAGTACAGGCAGAGAAGCCAGACTGCCTGAGACCCAGTCCTGCCTTTGTGTATTCCAGCCATGTGACCCCGACAAACCACTTAGCTTATCTGTGAAACTGGGTAATTATAGCACTTTCCTTTTGGGACCATGGTGAGGCTTAAGCTTGTTGATTCTTGCAGAGTTTAGATCTGACCCAGACCTGCCACTCACTCGCTGCAGACTACTCCTGTCTTCTTCAGGGGTACATTCCTGAGCAGAGGCTGTATTCTTGGACAGATGAAAATGGTATTATTATTATTTAGCCTTTCTTGATAAATGGAGTCTGGCAATCCGGCCCACCTTCTGCTTGGCAGGAGTGGGTTTCCACTTCTCCATCTGTATCATCCCTGCTGGGCCCATTTCATTACTCGCCTGCCCCTGAGGGTCTTTGTTGTTTTTGTTACATCTTCACATCCAGCATAAGCCAACAAGGGTGTCAGGAACCCGAGTGGGGCTATGAGACCGAGAAAAGACAGACCTGTCTGTGCTCAGAAGGGGGCAGCAAGGGTTCATTCGATGCTGCCACCGCAGGTCTCAGAGGAAGATGAATTAGAATAAGAGGGGGATGGGTATGCTGGGCCTGGCTAGCCTGCATGTGGCTTTGCACTCACATGTCTGTGGCTAGAAAATACAGGTAAGCGAATACCCTGAACTTGAGCAACCTGGCTCAGAAATCCTGGACCCCGGTCCACTGGGAAGTTCCTGTTTTGGGGGCCCAAATGTTGAACTGTTTTCTGTATCTTTTAGTCTCATATTTTTCCTAACACAAGCATCTTGGGGACAGGAGGCTTGACTTCCTCAACGGAGGGAACTTGTCACATTCCTTATGGAGGGACCAAGCACAGGAGGTTCTCGGGAAATGCTTGCTAAGTAAATATATGGATGGATGAATGGATGAAACCAAGAATTTAGCTAAACTTTTCAGAAAGCCCTTTGTTATCCCCCTCCGGTCCCTGCACTTGGTAGTGTGGGGGCAGAAATCAGGTTACCTTTGCTCACCGTTATATGTCTAGAGCCCAGTTCAGTCCTGGGCCCTTAGCAAGTGTCCAATCTATATCTGCTAAATGAACGAACGAATGAATGAAATGGAATGGAAAGCCTTTTTGCTCTGGAGTGTGGTCACTGTAATTGTGCTCCTAATAATTGGGAGCCTTGAATTCCTCTTTGTAACTCCTTTCTGACTCCACCCACTGAACAGAGTGAAATGACCCAGATAGACCCCATCACACGAAACTTGAAATACAGGAGTTCAACGCCTTCTCTGAAGCTGTCATCCTGAAGCTTCTGGTGTCCTTGGCAGACCATCTCCCCCGTTGTCTTGTCCCTTCCTTCTTGTGAGGCCAGTCAATGGGCCCGGTTATCTTGTCATTTACAACTGCATTTGGAGTCATCCCTCTGTGGGTTTTGGGTTTTGCTTATCTCACTATCTGAGATCCACTTATTAGTTCTAAAAAGGCAACAGCTTCCGGAATGACTGGGGATAGTCTCAGCAGTGACAGCTGCCCCTTAACTCCTCTGATAAGACACCATGGTGGGAAAGGGCTCCAGCCCTGGCTTGGGACCCGTTGGCTCTGTGACCTTGGGCAGAGTGACCTTGATCACTTCATCTCTCTCAGCCTCATCTCTGAGGCCCTTTCAGATCTTTAATTTTATGTCAATACACAGGAATGAGTTTTCCAGAAGTATAGCGATTTTTAAGTTGGTCTATGCTTCTCAAGGAAATTGTAGCTGTTTTCATTTTAAAACTTTTCATTTAAGCTCCTGTTCTGAGTGTAAAAACAGCACTAGCTACAAGGAACTCATATTTTGTGATTTATTGGGAGTATTATTATGATATCAGAAAAAGGTAGTTTTTTTGTTAAATATGTTTTTAAAAGGCTTGCTGCATTCTTAAGTGTGATTTTATTATATCTTGGAGCAACTTTTTTCCCCCATGAAGAATAGATCTGTGATTTATAATGCGCCTTCACTACCCGCGGCTGGCTGTGAACATATTCTGTAGCGTTACATCATCCCTAAAGGCTGCTCTGGCTATAGGAGCTTCCAGATTTCTAAGCACATTGCAAAGATTGAATTGCGAGGTTCTTTCTAGAAATGAGGATAACCCGAGACTAGCCAGACCCACATCCAGGCACATATGGAAGAATCTTAAAAAGGAAAGGGCCTTTGAGGATATACCAGCCCAATTCTATTGTCATTTAGATTAGGGAAATGGAGACCCAGAGTGGAGAAGTGACCTCCCCCAGGTAAATGGCGAAGAGTGTTCCCTTACTGTCTGCCAATTGCTCATCTCTTATCCCTCGTTTGATCCAAACCCTGGTCCCCCGCCCCCCAAAATGAACATTTTTGTATATACCCAAACCACTGCTCATGCCTGGGGTGGTGCTTTCCCTGTATTATGACTTGTTTTCCAAGCACCTTCTGGTAGAAGGGCTGCTGCTACAACCAGCATCTTGCCCAGACACATTTTGCCCCCACTAGCTAGGTGGTGATACGTAGCAGAGACTTTATTGGCATAGTTTCCCCAGAAAAGAGGCTAGAATACTTAAGAAGTTCAAATTTTAACATTTTTATCCAGAGTCCCAAAGGCTCACCCTTTTTCCCTCCCCTAATCACTTCGGACTCTAATAAGGCTTTTCTGCCACAGGAAGTCAGGGTGCACAAAGCAGAAACAGCAGAAGCTGGATCAGCAGGTACATGATACATTACCGAATCAACTGAGCAAGCAACCACGTGGGAGCCATCTTTGTTAAGGGCAAAATAAGAAGTTCACGAGAACACAGGAAAGACAGGACTATCTTGATTCTTCTGAAGGAGTGAGGGAGGCTGGATGGGGTACAGGGGAGACTTTCTTTTTCTGTTTTCTCAGAAAACATGCAAAGAAAGACTTCACAAACAACTAAGGTTGCAACAGTATCTCCCAAACTTCCCTTTTCAAAGATGGCCACCCTGCTGTCCACTTAGAGGGAGCACATGGCAGAATCTATTGGGTATGGAAAGAGACAGGCAGCAGGAGAGAGATTTAGTTTTCCACAAAGGTTGTTAGTTTTGTATTTTTTTTTTTCCTTTATTGATGGAGTTTAAAGTGCATATAACTGAAGGCAAAGTCCAAGGCCTAGAGAAAGATATGAGGCCTGAGATAGAGGCTCAGAGATTCTAAAGGCAGCCGAAGAAGAATACCCACCTAAAAAGGCCACTTGAGCTGCAAAAAGGACAGGGAAGGGAAGTAGAGAATGGGGAAGAGAGAAAGGAGAGAGGGATAGGATTGGGGTGGAGGAAAGAGTTTGGGAGGAAGAAGACAAACATGGGTTCAGAAATTTAGAAAAAGATGACTCATAGGAGTTAGTTTATATCCCAGCTATGAAAATATGGGCTGACCTCTAGGTAGGAATGCTTGTTTTAGGAGATGTGAGAAGAATGATAGCCTAAGGCCAGGACAGCACCCCTGGGGCCCTGTAGGTGGGGGTTAGTAGTAATGGGGCCTCTCCAAGCTCCTGCCATGATTTTCCCTGGAGACTCAATGGTAGATTAAGGAGACTGTCTATATTCAGGAGAAGGCAGGGCTGAGGACCTTGATCTGCAGCCCACCCAGAGCTTCCCAGTGAAAGACAACTTTGATCTACTACTAGACTGTGGCTGGGGGCCCACTCACCCACACAGGCTGTGCCATCCTCATTAGGCTCAAAGCCCCGACTGCATCTCTTGTTGGTTCGGCATCTGTAGCTTCCGTAGGTGTTGACACACACTGGCTTGTCTCGAGGGCACACAAATGGGAACTGGATGCATTCATTGGTATCTGCAAGGTGAGGGGAGCCACTCACCAGGGAGGTGTGGGGCAGTGGGTCCTAGCTCAGGCTGTGTGCCCACCCACTCACTCTGTGACCTTGGGCATGTCCCTTCTTGATGGGCCTCCATTTCCTTTCTTCAGTTCCCTTGGCTGGCTCCTCCCTACTTGACTTCTACATGGTGGGGTGGCACTCAGGCTTGGTCCTGGGTCTTCTTTTCTATCCACCACAGTTTCTCTAGGTGATCTCCTTGCATATGGATGACTGCAAACTTTCTGTCTCTAGCCATAACCTCTCCTTTGAGCTCCAGACTCATGAATCCACTCACCAATGACCTACTTGACAGTTCCACCTGGATATCTAATACACACCTCAAACTTAATATGTCCAAAATGGAACTTTAGATTTCCCTCAGCCCTTAAACCTCTCCTTCCCCCGTTCCCATCTTCCTTAGCTCAATCAATGCTACCATCATCTACTCAACCGCTCCAGAAGAAATTGGAGCGATCCCCCAATCCTCCCTTTTCTTCACCCCCATACACAACCCCACAGCAGGTCCTGTCCGTTCTGCCCCACAGTGCACCTCTTGCCTGTCCACCTTCCTCACTCCTCTGCCACCACCCTATTCCCAGCCCCCATGATCTCTTGCCTGGAGTTCTGCAGTTGGCGCCTTACTGGCCTCCTGGCTTCCACTCTTCCCTCCAATCCAATCTGCAATTCAGCAGCCAGAGTGATCTTTTAAAAATGTGAATCACATCAGGTCACTCTCCTGCTTAACTTCCAAGGGCCCTAAGAACAAAATCCAGCCTTCTTCCCAGAGCCTGAAGCCCCTCCTTGACCTGGTGCTGCCTCCTCCATGTCATCTCAGGCATATGGGCCTCCTGCCTGCCCCTCGGGCACAGCAAGCCTTTTCCTACCTTGGGCTCTTCACCCCTGCCCTCTCCTCTGCCAGGAGAGCTTCCCACTCAGCTCATCCCGAGGCTGCATTCTTCTCATCCTTGGGGGCTCAGCATAAAAGAATCCTATCCAGTATCCCTCCCTGCCTACTCTGTTCAGAACAGTTTCCAGAGAGCATCTTGTTTACAGGTTCTTAAACCATCCTGCCTAGCTATGTGATCCCATGGTTGGGGTCAGTCTCCCTCTACCAGAAGGAACACCTCTCAGAGCAGGCACTTGGGCTGCACCCTGAGGGCCCAACATGGTGCTTGGTACCATGCAGGAGGCATATCAATGCCTGTTGGATGATGAAAAAATGGAGGGGGCTGGTTTGGTGATCTGGAAGGGTCCTTCCAGCATGCAGAGAAGACCGTTTTCCATACACCTGCACTGTCTGTTTAGCATGAGGCCAGGGTGGGGACATGGGGAGAGTGGGGGAGTCACATCCTCCTCAACCACCCTGAGCCTCCCTGCTCCTATGCTTCTGCATTTTGAGGTGCTTTGCCCAGACAGGGCTCTTCTCTGGAACATTGCCTCTCTGTGTCAGTCCAACTCCTTGTCATCCCTCAGGTCCCAGCTCAGACCTTGCTTTCTCAAGGTGGCCTTCTAGGACCCTCTCCAGATGGTTGAGGGCCACCTTGGTACTCTCAAGCCCCTGCCCCTGCCCCATTCCAGTCCTGATCCCATGTGTGGCCATTGACTGTTTACTGTGGGTCTGTCTATTGGTTATGGAGAGGATGGGGCTATCTGTCTAATTTACTTGTGTACCTCTGCAGCAAATGCATTAGCCTGAAGCTAATGTGTGGCTTTAGAGTCGAATTGGGTCTAAGGAAGGAGGAATCCTTGGCTTGACCCCTTGTTACTGGTCACTAGAATGGAAGACGCTAGGTTGAAGGTCTTGTGGACACTGAGCCTCTAGGCTGCTCCCTTCCTATTCTAGGCTCTTGGGAGATTTTCAGAAGGTCACTGGATTTTTATGGCACTACCATCTAGAAGCTACCTGTCCCCTAGTACTGCACCAGTATGTAATCTCCCATCTGCTCTGTGACTTCGCACCCTGCTTTGCCTGGATGCTCCCAACAATGGCCAACCTTGCCTGTCAGACCCTACCGGCTGCTTCCCTGGCTGCCATGGCATGTGGCTATTCTACCTGCACCAGGACAAAGCTCGCCCACCAGAGTCTCCACTGTCTTTATGCTGGCTCCCAGGATCCTCTATATTCATGGCATGAGACACTGCCAATTCCCAGAACTGCAGTGAGTCAGCCTGCCGGTCACTCCCACCTTGGTGAGTCATATGGCGGTTGTCTTGGCATCTGGAGTCCCAGGGAACAACACCTTCCTCTCCCTGCCTTTCCACCCTCTGTCTACACCCTGGATATTGCCACTGGTCAGGCCAACATTTCCCAGGGAGTGCCCATCCCCTGGGGCCCGCAGACAACTCACCCATGCAATGGCCATTTTCGTGCTGGGAGAATCCCTGGCCGCACTGTAAGGTGGGCAGAAGCAGAGACAACAGTGAGTTGAGACTGTCCCATCTCAGGTCTCCTCCTAGTCACAGCCACAGAGAAGCTGTTACTCTGACTCCAGTATGAGGGGTGTTCTCAGTCCTAAGGCCTGGGTGGAGTTCCCTCCCTTCCAGGACCCTCTGCCTTGCTCTGAGAACAGGAGACGGCATAGTGTGCAGGGGGCAAGAATGAACATAATCCAAACTCCTGCTCATTTCCCTTCACATGGGTTCTGCATACCTGATCTGGACCAGAGATTGGTCCACAGAGGCTCTGTACAGGGTCTGAGCCCCACCCTTAGGGCAAAAGGAGGTCTCATAAGATACTTGGAAAGAACCAGGAGGGCTGCAGGGGACCTACAGGTCAATTTTTAACCCTGCTCACAACTGGTTGTAGGCCTCAGTGGGCCTTGGGTCCCCTTTCTTGGTCTCAGTTTTGTCCTCTGTAAAATGGATACAAAACACTTGCTCTGACAATTCTCTAGGATTTCTGAGAAGCAGAAGAGAATGTGATAGTGTTGTTCAGACTACAAATGGAGGGATCACTCTGAAGCCCGCCATTATTCTAGAGGCCAATGCTACAGCCCATGAGACTGTGGGTGGTGTCTGCTTTTCTAGATATGAGGTCCAGATGCCTTGGCCCACCTCAAGTGGGGCTGGGTCCTGAAGTTTGTCCTCATCCCGGGGGTAAAGGATCTCCAGCACTGAGTTCATCTTCTCACTGGCCACACTCTGGCTCACCATCTTGCCATCTGGCCACGTCACTTCCACACTGCTGGCTTCATCCCTCCCTGTGGGAGGAAGGACAGCGGTCAGCAGCAGAGGGGAGAGGGGCTCTCAGCCAAAGCACTGGCAGTAATGGATTCCTTCATGTAATAAAAGCATTAATGGAGTCCTCTTCTACGGGCTAGGGAAACGAACAAGACAGATTTGAGGTGCCTCCTCTTTAGACCAACACTGTACAACAGAACTTCCTGCCCTGATGGCCATCTGTGGCTGTTGAGCACTCAAAGTGGGACTAGTGGGACTGAGGAAGTGAATTTTAGATTTTATTTAATTTTAAACAAATTTACATCTAAATAAAATGCATGATTAAATAAAATACATGATTGATTTAAAAATACATTTAAATAAGTACATTCACACATGGCTGATGGTTGCCATACTGGATAGCACAGCTGTAGAATTTACATTCTAACCACAAGTCAAGTAGCATGAAGCTGGATTTGGGGAGGTGGAAGGCCTGGTGGTCAGCGACTTGACTCTGGCATCTGGACTCCAAATCCTGACTCTCCTACTTACCCTGGTGTGTTGGACAGAACATGGTGGGGAGCAGGATCCTGGGACCCCTGGGGACAAACCCCAGCTCTGCAGCCAAGTCACTGTGGACTCCTAGGCATCCCTCTTCCATATCTATTTATGGAGCTCTGGTAGAGGGCAGGCCCTCTTTTGTCACTGAATGTCCCTGTTGTCAGGGGGCTTCCACTCTTCATGTGGGACAGAGGCCAAACACATGAACAAACAATCATGCCAGATATCAACAAGCTCAGTGAAGAAAGCCGAGCAACAGGGTAAAGAGGACCCGGAGGCTGGTTGGGGCTCTTCGGGGATAGCCTCTTGGGGAGGAGGTATTTGAGCTGAGCTCTAAATAAAGACCTGGAAAAGATAGGGTGGAGGGCACTGGAGAAAGACCATTCTACAGAGCTGAGATGTTTACAGGAGGTGGCGGTGAAGCTCAGACAACATTCACGGTGAATCCATCTGCACACATCCCTAAAGCAATGTACTACATCATTGGCAGAAAGCAGGTGGGAAAGATTTGTCAGGTGTTTAGGCTTGTCAAAGACTGCCCTGGCTCCCTGCATAAGGAACCAGGCTGGTCCCTGTGGCAAGGTCAGGCTAATGGTGATGGATTGGGGAGGGCAGGGGGGCTGGGCCTCACCTTCAGGGAGGGGATGAGCTCCTGGACCACCACCTGCACAGGAGATGGTGCTCAGCACACACAGGAGTGCTGAACACCCACCTGGACTGACCAGATGTGGACACATGCTCTGGGGAGCACTGGGAACCCTCAAATCTATGTAGTCCCTTAAGCATCATTCCTGGGCTGAGTAAATGGCACATCACTCATAGGAATGCACGCCTATTTTTCTCCTAATGCATGTAGATACTGTCAGAAAATAAATGACACTGGAAAGTGCTGTTGGATTCATACTGGCTTTTGGTCCTTACCATCCACCAATGGATGTGACAATGACAGTTACTATGGGGGTGGAGGGTTGTCTGTGAGGTATTTAGATGCATAAAAGAGATTCTCGTATTTTAGCAAAGGGGCCTGGAAACCTCATGCAGACTGAGAAGGATCTAGTGAAGGGTGCAGAGGTCTGCTGAGGGGCGGGGGCCAGGACAGTATCATGGAGAGGAGCACCAGCTACCTCTTTCTGTCCAGTGGGGGACATATCAGCCACATCATCGTCCTCCCTTGTGGGTGCCCCTCCCACCCTGCTTCCTCCAACCTTCAGAGAAGTCTCCCTATGTCACTATGTCTGCAGGGAGTGAGGTGGGACCAGGTGCCGCAACCTGGAGATTCCCAAGTCCTGGAGGGGAGGGCAGCCCTGAACTTATGGGCACCACAGGCAGCGTCATGGGGACAGTCCTGTATTCAGTTATTTTTCTTGCCACAGAGCCCAGCTCTTCCTGAGCCCAACCACCCTGGTTCTGGGTTTGAATTATCAGGCCAGAAAGTGCTCTGCCTCCCCCGCCTATAACTTCTCCTGGGGAGGGGCGGGAAAGGGGCTGAGGAGTGCCAACTACAGGTTTAATTTTTCTGTTTTGAAGTAGACTCTTGAGGTGCAAGAGATTTGGCATTTTTAGGGTGCACAGTGCCCAAATTAACTGGCACATGTAAAAACTATACATTTCCCATTTAAAAGAAAAAAAGGAGACAAAGGAGAGCAAATGTTTCTCACCTAAGCCAACAGAACAGCGACAGGAATACATTTTCCAGCCTGCCTGAAGTGCCACAAATAACTCAAAAGAGCCGCCGAATATTCATAGACCATCACAAATTTACAGCCTGCACTTGCGGTGCCTGGCGCAGTCCAGCCCTCCCTCTCCAGACCCAGGAGGGGCTGGGGCTGTGGCAAGCCGGCCTGCAAGGCATAGCCTGGGCTTCCTCCTCAGCCGCTGACTAGCCTGTGGATTTGGGCCACCTCTCTGGGACTCAGCCCTGTCCGTATGAGGGGTGTGCCAGTCCAGCACCCCAACACTTCCAGAAGCACGGACCCCAACACTCCCAGAAGCATGGACTTCTTCCCTGGAATATAAACTCTGCCCGCTGATTCATCAGCGTCCTCACCACCAGTCCCCAAAGGGCTTCCCCTTGTTGGTAATAACAGTGAAGGCCGACGATGTGCCCAAACCTTACGACGTGCTTCACGGTGTTATCGCCTTGAGTCTTCACAACACCTACCCGAGGAAGAATTCATTCCTGCCCCCCTTTTTTAATGAGCCATGCTGGGGATTGAGCCCAGGGCCTCACTCATCCTAGGCACGGGCTCTTCCACAGAGCCACACCCCCAGCCTCCTTTTAAATTTTATTTTGAGACAGGGTCGCACTAAGTTTCCCAGGCTAACCTTGAACTTGCCATTCTTCTGAGTAGCTGGGATTATAGGTGTGCACCACCACGCCCAGCTAGGAAGGTATTAGTTTTATAATTTCCAACTTAGAGATGAGAAAGCTGAGCCTTGGGAGAAGCAAGAGGATTTCCCATGGTTCCTCAGGTCAGGCCTGTCTGATCCCAGAGTCCCAATCTGCTGTACCCTTGTCACACTGCCCACTCCACACCCATGCCCAGCAGTCATTGTGTGCCAAGTTTTGCACAGGGATCTGAGATTCAGTCATGAATGAGAAGGTCCCATCCTGGAGGAACCGATTCCTGTGGGAGCAATGAACACAGTGGTTACATGATCATAAACTGGGAAGGTATAGCGGTAGCATTGGTGCCACTCTGAGAGGTGGGTCATTTCACTTGGATATTGCAGGAGGAATAAGAGTCTGTGAGGCTGAGATGGGAAGGAAAGAGCATTCCAGGCAGAGGGGACAGTGTACAGAGGTATGAAGGACATGGTGTGTTTGAAGACCAGGGTGAAGTTCAAAGCAGGGAAATAGAGTGTTAGAATGTGTGCAGTGGGGGGAAAGGAGTTTGAGGCTTTTGTACCTGTAAGGTGGGTGTTTTGTCCCCATTTTTGGAATGAGTCTTGGTGAAATGAAGTGACTTACAGATATCTGAGCTAGGACTAGAGCCTGTCCTTGGTCTTCCTGATCCCTCTGCCCCAGGGTACCCAAGGCAGAGGATACTGAGACATCTCAAGTATTCAGGAAGCTGCACACGAAGGGGGTTCCAGCACAAGAGCAGCCTTCAAGACTCGGCCAGGCCTGTGAGCAGGGGGGGACCCACAGAGGAGGGGCCTCAGGAATCAGCAGAGACACAGGCCAGGAGCCGCAGTGAGTCGCCTCTGGCAGGTTTTAAAGGACAAAGGCCAAGGAGGCACAGAGAATTGCGCTTTTCACAAGAATTACAAGCAAAACAGATGGTGGGAATACAGTTGGCGGAATATTTTTACACTTTAATAAAGCAATTTTTATGTGGGCCACTGAATTTTCCTTCCCTAAATGAGCACCAGCCGGCTTGGAGGCAGCTCTGAGTCACTAGCAAACAATTAGCTTAAAAGGAGGAGGGATGGGGGGCGGGGGAGGCGCCGTCAATTCCGGGGTGGGGGTGGACTGCTTGAGTGGGTGACCCCTAGTGGGGGCTGAGGAGGCGAGTAGATCACTGGCACTTGTTTTTATTTTCTGGGTTTGGTAGTGAACTGGCTCAGCCCACTACCAGGCAGGAAGTTGGGGGCCAGGGTATGAGATTCACAGGGGGGCTGTGTGGGGCGGGGCTGGGGAGCAGTCAGGGAGCCTCTAAGCAGAATCGCTTATTAATGAGGCTGGTGGTTGGTCTGCACCCAGGAAGGGCAGGGACAGTGTGCAGAGGAACTGTAGAATGTGGCCAGGGGCTCTGCTCTCTGACAGTGGGTCCACTAAGAAGAGAGGGGCCTACAAGACACACTGAGGACTCTGTACAACTGAATAGGCCCTGGGGGGACCCCTGGAGGACAGAGCCACAGCAAGGTCCCTGAGTGTTCTTGGGCCATATGTTTTGCAGGCCAGGCTCTGGGAGGGAGCTTGGAAGGGCACGTGAGGGTCCCAGATCTATGTGGTTGCTCATGCACTTCTAGCAAGGCCTGGTCTGGAGCATTCAGAGAGACAACTGCGGGCTGGTGTGTACCATGGAGAGCAGCCATGAGCTGGCTGTGATGGGGACAGGAGGAGCCACGGAGGCTGTCCACTGGAGGCACACATGTGTGCTCACCTCCATGTCCACTGGCTTATGTGGGCTCAGCATGCCCTGCTGCAGTCAGGAGGAGGCAGAGAGTGATTCATGGAGGGAGTACAGCAGCAGGGTGGTTTGGGGGGTGAGCTGAAATCCTGGGCATGCAGGAAGCAGGGTTTCCTGCGGCCCTCTTCCCTCCAGACCTCATCTCCCAGTCACGCAGAACCCCAGGGTAGGCTTTTCTTGGATTTGTGTTCTGGATGGCCCCCTTCTCACCTCGAACTGCTCAGAACTGGAAACAATCTAGCTGTCCATCACCAGGGGACTTGGTAAATAAATTATGAGTGCTGCCACACAGTGAAATACTCTGAAGCGTTGAAAGAAAACAAAAGAGATGCGCACCGACTTGG